TTTTTCTTATCACTTTTTCAAGTAAATAAAATATCGTTCATGTATATTTTATCAACTAAACTATTTCACATACTCATAAATATTTAAAATAGACAGAATTATATAATAATTAATAGTAAAAGTTGTTAAATCTTCAAATAATTATATTGTTTTAATTATAATGAAATTATTTGATAAAAATTTAAATCTTACAATAGAACAAATCTGAATTATTTCTTTAAAAATTGTTCCAATGTAAAAAAAATTATATTCATATTTTTCTGTAAAAACGTAAAGATTTATTTTCTTTCTTTTTTAAAAATATTTATTTGCTACAAATAGTTTATTTCATTGTATTTTCTGCTACATTTGTAAAACGTTTGATTCATATTATTCTTAGAGGAATTCTTGCAAATTGAATATATTCTTCGAATCTGTGAAACAATTAATGAAATTAACAAATAAGAAAAGATATAAATTTGTCTGATAATGTTAATTGCAATTGCAATTTCCTCAAATTCATCGAAAACGTAAAGAAGCTAAAAGTTGTTCAAATTTTAAGAAAAATAAATAAGTTTGAACTATAGATTAATAGAGGATATCTAGAAATAGACAAGTAAAGGAAATCTCATTCTTGGAAAATTAAGAAGTTTTCACCTAAAATTCTTATGCGAAAGTAAGAATTCAAGAAGTTCCAAATCGAAGCTGATTTTCAAAAATATGAATGGAATATAGAATTAGCAGTAAATAATACGGAAAATGAATGTTAAAGTTCTCAATGTTTTGATAATAAGAAGCTTCAAATCGAAGACGATTTTCGCTTTAATTGGAAAAATGAAGAAAGTTACAATTAAACAGTTAGAATCTAAACCGATTTTCAGAAATAATAACGAATTCTCAGTTTTACCTAAAAAAAAAAGGATTCAAAAAGTTTCAAATCTAAGACGATTTCCACTTGATTAGGAAATGATGAAGAAAGTTTGGAATTAAATAATTAGAATCAAAGCTGATTTTCAAAAATATAAGGAAATGAGATGAAAAATAAAACTAAGTAATATAGAAAATGAATTTGAAACTAAAGAAGTTCTCAGTTTTATCTAAAGAAATAAATCAAGAAGTTACAAATCGAAGACGAGTTCCACTTGATTTGGAAATGATGAAGAAATTTCGAATTAATCAATTAGAATCTAAGCTGATTTTAAAAAAATATAAGAAAATCGAAAATAAATCCATTGTTTCAAATACTAGTAATTATAAACCTGAAAGATCAAAAAGTTCAAAAATCGAAGACGATTTTCACTTCAATTGGAAATATACTAGATTCGTGAAGAATTTTCGTATTAAAAAATTCGAATCTGAAACCGATTTTAACAAATATAATGGAATCGAGCAAAAAATAAAAACTTTGATTCAAATCGTTGGAATTATCAACCCAATAAAATTTGCCTACAAACAAAAAAACAAGAGTTGTTGATAAATCTGAAGTCTAAACTAGGAATTAAATGCAAATTTCAAAACACATTTTAAATTTATTGTATTTTTGTATTTTTTTGTTATAAAATGACAAATACATAATTTCTTTACAAAAAAAAACAAGTGTTTAATTAATAATGAATTTCAGTTATTTAACTAAACGAAATACTCAAAGTTTCAATAAAAAAATATTGAAAAAGTATTAATAAATAATTTCAATTCAAAAATGAACTATTTTTACAAGCAATGAAGATAAACTTTTATGAGAAATCAATCTTAAATAAATTTAAGATAATTATTTGAGAATTATCAAACTTTCAAATTTATTAATGATTATTAAAAAAAAAAAGTTTTCTAGTAATATAATGGTCAACAAACCGCGAGCCGCATGCGGCTCTTTGACCCATTGAGTGCGGCTATGCTACATATCCCATTTTGCTCAAGATTTTGCAAAAGAAACTTTGATGCACTTTCCAAGTCTGCTGATCTAAGCAATAGAAATTTGTGTATATCACATTGAATGTATATTGCAATTGAATCTAGGATTATAATTATGCATAAAGTTATAGAAATTGTTTCCTAAAACAAAAATAAACATACAACTCATGAAGAAGATTTTAGCTTTTTTTATTATCCTAGTAAAGTTCATATTATTGATCTAAGCAAACTGTGACTCTTGTATGCATATCCAATTTTTCTCAAGCTTTTGAAAGAGAAACTTTCCAACTTTGAAACAATCTAAGCAATCGAAATTTGTATATATCATATTGAATTTATATTGCAATTGCATCTAGAATTTTCATTATGCACAGAGATTTGCAACTCATGAAGAACATTGCTGTGTAGACTAAATGGAAGTAAAAATGTTATAGTTTTTTTTTCGGTATTGTGTTGCAGATGAAATTGAAGTATTTTTGATGATTTTAGCTTTGTTTTATTGTCCTAGTAAAGTTCATATTCTGTAACATATCCAATTTTGCTCAAGATTTTGTAAGAGAAACTTTCCAACTCTGCTGATCTAACCAATCAAAATTTGTGTATATCATATTGCAATTGAATCTAGGATTTCCATTATGCACAAAGATTTTCAACTCATGAAGAATTATGCTGTAAAGACTAAATGAAAGTAAAAATGTTACAGGTTTTTATTTCGGTATTGTGTTGCAGATTAAATTGAAGTATTTTTGATGATTTTAACTTTTTTCTTATTGTCCTAATAAAGTGTATATTGTTGATCTAGACAAGTGATCTAGACACACTTCCACAAATCCCATTTTGCTCAAGATTTTGTAAAATAAACTTTGATGCACTTTCCAAGTCTGATGATCTAAGTAATCGAAATTGATGCATGTAACATTGAATTTATATTGCAATTGAATCTAGGATTATAATTATACATAAAGTTATAGAAATTGTTTCCTAAAACAAAAATAAACATACAACTCATGAAGAATATTGCTTTAAAGACTAAATGAAAGCCAAATTGTTATAGTTTTTATTTTGGTATTTTGTTGCAGATGAAATTTTTATTTTTGATGATTTTAGCTTTATTATCTTATCATATATCTAATTTTGCTCAAGATTTTGAAACAGAAACTTTCCAACTCTGCTCATCTAAATAACTGAAATTTGTGTATATCTTATTGAATTTATATTGCAATTGAATCTCGGATTATAATTATACAGAAAGTTATAGAAATTGTTTCCAAAAACAAAAATAAACAGATTTACAACCCATGAAGAATATTGCTTTAAAGACTAAATGGAAGCAAAATTGTTCTAGTTTTGGTATTGTGTTGCAGATGAAATTTAAGTATTTTAATGATTTTAGCTTTTTTTACTGTCCTAGTAAAGTTCATATTATTGATCTAAGCAAACTGTGACTCTTGCATGCATGCGACTCTTTGAACAATTGACTGTAACATAACTCTGTAACATATCCAATTTTGCTCAAGATTTTGAAAGAGAAACTTTCCAACTTTGAAACAATCTAAGCAATCGAAATTTGTGTATATCATATTGCAATTGAATCTAGGATTTTCATTATGCACAAAGACTCATGAAGAATTATGCTTTAAAGTCTAAATGAAAGTAAAAATGAATATAATTATACATAAAGATATAGAAATTGTTTCCAAAAACAAAAATAAACAGATTTACAACCCATGAAGAATATTGCTTTAAAGACTAAATGAAAGCAAAATTGTTCTAGTTTTTATTTTGGTATTGCGTTGCAGATGAAATTTAAGTATTTTTGATGATTTTAGCTTTTTTTATTATCCTTGTAAAGTTCATATTATTGATCTAAGCAAACTGTGAGTCTTGTATGCATATCTAATTTTTCTCAAGCTTTTGAAAGAGAAACTTTCCAACTTTGAAACAATCTAAGCAATCGAAATTTGTGTATATCATATTGAATTTATATATATAATTAAATCTAGGATTTTCATTATGCAACTTATGAAGAATTATGCTGTAAAGACCAAATGAAAGTAAAAATGTTACAGTTTTTTATTTCGTTATTGTGTTGCAGATTAAATTGAAGTATTTTTGATGATTTTAAGCTTTTTTTTATTATTCTAATAGATTTTGTAAAGAAACTTTCATGCACTTTCTAAGTCTGCGAAACTAAGTAATCGAAATTGATGCATGTAACATTGAATTTATACTTCAATTGTATCTAGGATTATAATTATACATAAAGTTATAGAAATTGTTTCCTAAAACAAAAATAATAATACAACTCATGAAGAATATTGCTTTAAAGTCTAAATGAAATCAAAGCTTTTTTTATTATCCTAGCAAAGTTAATATTATTGATCTAAGCAAACCGTGACTCTTGTATGCATGCGGCTCTTTGAACAATTGACTGTAACATAACTCTGTAACATATCCAATTTTGCTCAAGATTTTGAAAGAGAAACTTTTCAACTTTGAAACAATCTAAGTTGTGTATATCATATTGCAATTGAATCTAGGATTTTCCTTATGCAACTCATGAAGAACATTGCTGTAAAGACTAAATGAAAGTAAAAATGTTACAGTTTTTTATTTCGTTATTGTGTTTCAGATTAAATTGAAGTATTTTTGATGATTTTAAGCTTTTATTATTGTTCTAATAGATTTTGTAAAGAAACTTTCATGCACTTTTCAAGTCTGCTGATCTAAGCAATCGAAATTGTTTTATATCACATTGAATTTATTTTGCAATTGAATCTAGGATTATAATTATACATAAAGTTATAGAAATTGTTTTCAAAAACAAAAATAAGCAGATTTACAATTCATGAAGAATATTGCTTTAAAGTCTAAATGAAAGCAAAGCTTTTTTTATTGTCCTAGTAAATTTCATATTATTGATCTAAGTAAACCGTGGCTCAAGAGAAACTTGCTGATGTAAGCAATCGAAATTTGTGTATATCATATTGAAGTTATATTGCAATTGAATCTAGGATTTTCATTATGCAACTCATGAAGAATTATGCTGTAAAGACTAAATGAAAGTAAAAATGTTACATTTTATTTTTTATTTCGGTATTGTGTTGCAGATGGTATGCACAATCTGGACGAGGATCCATCTGAGAACTGGCTGTTCCCGAGCGTCGCTCCCGCTCCACTGGAATTGGAAACAATATCTGCGGCCGCGGCGACGACGACGACGACAACAAAGGACTTCGCAGCTGCAGCGGTGTTATTTTCAGTGCTGTTGTTTGTGTTCAGGTGACAAATAGTAATCTAAATAGTGTGGGTACGATGATGATGATGATGATGTAAAAAAAAGTACATAGAGAAGAGCAGCAAAACAACGTCAACGATTTAGTGCGATGGAATAGAGTGGAGTGTTTCGTATTTGTACATAATTGTATTTATTTACTTACTTATACGTCACATATACGCGTGTATATAGTAAGGGTATATAGTGACACCGATGAAAACACTGATGAAACTCTCTTCCTCTATCAATAGATTTCGATGTTAAAATTATATAACTAACCCACGCGTTCTGTAAACGAGTTTTTTCAGTTTTAGCAGCGAATCGAATATGAAAAGAAAAATATATATAAAAAACGTAAATCTATATATAAATAAATAAATAAATATACATATATAAAGGGAAGATGAATAGGAAATGAGAGAGCATATTGTGTCCAGAGAGGAATTCCCTTTTAGAAGGACATTTTTTTTTTGTTCCCTTTTTATTTTACATATAGAGGGACACCACCGAATTTGTTTGATGGACATATCCTTGTTGTATACACACACACAAAGAAACGAGAATACGAAAATATCTTTGCTTAAAAAAGGGATTTTCCTTCTTTTTTTTTTGGAAGGTCGCTCCACTTTGCAGGTAAATGAATTTCCACGGGTTTAATTGTAATCTCGAAACGTAATTTCTGTAGCTAGAACTACACACAGCGAATTACCTTCTACGATTCCAACCCTCTCCAATGAGTCAGCCAATTTACTCACTAAGATCTGTTAGGCCCTAATTGCAAATTCCCCCCCATTTAATAACTAACACTGATTTTATACAATTGCGTTCCTATAGTTACTTATGTGTACACGAAAGATTCATTTTTTTTTATTTACCACCTAACAAATAAGTTATTATTATTATTAACTAAACATGTACTTGTAAATATTAAGCATTCATAAATAAATATTGACTCAAATGCAAAACATATTTTTCTTTGTATAATTTTATACCATATAGATTTCTAGATAATCGAATTACATCATAATATTGGATAATTTTGATGAGATTAGAGAAAAGATAAAATTGTAATTATTGTCGACTCAACAAAAAAGTAAGTAAGAATTGGAATGAGAATTGTTGCAATTCTTTCATTCTAATTAGTTAATTACAAATATTAGTGATGAATGTTTTCAAATTATGGTAAATTTTTAACTTTATACATTGCTTCTTTGATTTTCTGGACAATTTTAGCTGTAAAAAACGATGAAATTGTAATTATTCTTGACTCAAGAAAAAGTAAGTTTTTATTAGAATAAGAATGAGAATAGATGCAATACTTTCATTCTAATTAGTTAATTACAAAAATTATTCATGAATCTCTTCAAAATATGGTAAATTTTGATTTTTTTTTTAAATTTTCAATGTATTTTCTTTGAATTTTTCTACAATTTTAATAAGTGTAAAGAAACGATAAAATTGTATGAATTGGAATAAGAATAGTTGCAATTATTTCATTCTAATTATTTAATTAGAAATTATTGATTAATCTCTTCAAAATATGGTAAATTTTTAAGTTTACATTTTGTATACATTATTTCATTGATTTTTTTGCATAATTTAAAGAAATATAATATTGAAATTATTGTCTATACAAGATAAACTAAGTTTTTATTCAATTGTATTAGAATTAGGATGAAATCATTGATGAATTTCTTCAAAATATGGTAAATTTTGAAGTTTTTTTTTGTGACATTGAAAGATTTAACATTTATTCATTATTAATAATTAAGAAATTAAGGTAAGTTTTAGTTGTATTTCCATATAATTAAAATATTTCCAATATTAAATATAGTTAGAGTATTTTTTTTCACTTTTTCTTTGTAGAGTTAGAGGATAAATAAAGTAAAGATTTTTTGTAATTCCAATTAAGATTTCATATAAATTTGTTACTTGAACGAATTTAATTACTTTTTCTTAACATTTGATACAATATGATAGTTACTTATTTTATTTGCGTTAATATTAGTCATGAATTAACTCGAAAGAATGCATATTTTTTGTAGAATTAGAATGATAGAATTAGAAATATTGCATAAATTCGTTAATTATTAGATTATTAAGTTTTTATGTGTTTACAAAAAAAAAATCCCAAACTAAAATAATTTTTCTTAAATTTAATTGTAATTAGTATTTCGAATATCGATAAAAAATTATTGCTTTTCTTTAACATTTATATGTAAATTCCTGGAAAATAAGGTAAGTTTTTCATTTGTTTTAGAAAATTATACATTTATTGAAAGATAGAAAAAAAATAACTTCATTTTTATAACATTGTTGTATAATTTTTCTCTTAAATTTATAAATTGTTTGTCTCCTTTTGTCTTGTTTGAGTAAAGTTCGTATTATTGATCCAAGCAACAGAAATTGGTGTATTTCCTATTGAATTTATATTGCAGGAGGTCATGACGCAATTTGTATGATGGAAGTTCATTTGAGGATTATCCACGAGGTCACGTATCGCATCCCGCTGCAAATCTAGCAGTAAGAAGCTCCTTCCTCTTCATGCATTATGACTAGAATTATTTTACATAGTAATAAGATCAAGTACACGAAATATTCTCACATAAAAGTCTCATAAACACTTAATATATTTAATTATTACAAATTTTCTTAATAAAAAATTGAATTTTATAAATTGTTTCTCATAAACTATAAAAGTATCTGCAAATTTGATGAAATTATAACTCAATAATTGTAAAAAAATATACTTAAACTAATACTTACACTATGCGAACGAAATGTTCTTATAAACTATAGAAAAAAAAGAACTGAAGATTTAATGGATTTTCTGAAAAATATAATTCAAATCTCGTGATTAATTGAATGCATAATGGTTTTTTTTTACATTGATATTTCTTTTGATGTGGATTTCCATTTAGATGTAATGGATCGTTTTAGGTTGAATCACGTTTTGAGGACGTGATTTTGAGGAAAGAGAGAGTGTATAAGTATGACACTAAGCGTATGATGTGTAAGGAGTGTAAAGTGTGCATGTTATGAATCTCGAGTTTTACGGTTTGCTGGATGAAGAAGGAGGAGGATGAGGAGAAACGTTAAGAAGATTTACAATGAATTTTCGTCGTTAATAGCAGTAGAGAGCTCTGATATTCACCTCCGACGTGACAGATTACGTAAGGAGCTTATGAGGATTGTAGTAGGCGACGTAATAGGTGTGAATATACATAATATTTGTATGTTAATAACTAGTTATAATCATTATAGATCATTTTCCAACAAAATGATGAAATTGATAATTTAAAAAAAATGAATCAAAATTTCAGGATTTCAGTGAAGAAAATGAAATTTTGTTCCTTACATTATATTCACAATACTATAGTATTAAATAATAATAAATAAAATGTATTGTATAACAGTTTTTACGACCAAATTATGAATAATAATTTGAATAATGGATGAGCAGAGCAAATTTACTTATATGGATAGTAAATGTTGTATTTTTTATTTATCAAATTATAAAAGTGAGTGAGAACACCTACGTTTTAATTGAACACCTGCACAAAACACCTGCATTTAAATCTACGTTTTAATTGAACACCTGCACGAAATATTTGCGATAATCTTTTGTGACAATCTGCGTTAATTGAATTTAAATGAAAAAAAAAGTACAATGAAATATAAGAGACAACGAATTATATCAATTTTACATGAAATCTTAGAATAAAAATCGATTTCGGTTTCGTTTTTGCTTCAAGAAAATGTTCAAAAACAGATTCGATTTTAGAAATTCATTATGTTAATAAAAAAAAACTACTAATATTCAAATTAATTAATATAATTAAAGAAATATTTGTTAATTATTTACATTTCTCAAGAGAGAAAAGAAACTGGATTTTATTGAACCATCAGCAAAAAATGTTGGAAAACAATTAAATTTTTGGAATTCATTTCAATTTTTAGTTTCAAATTGTGGATGTATCTGCATATACATCTACGTTTTAATTGAACACCTGCGTTTACTTTGAACACCTGCACAAAATACTTGTGCATAAATTGAACACCTGCACGAAACACATGCGTTTACATTGAACACCTGCACGAAACACCTGCGTTTCAATTGAACAACTTTTGCGATAATCTGCGTTAACATGTGCGCAAATAATTGAATTTAATTGAAAAAAAGTACAATGAAATATATATAAGAAACAACGAATTATATCAATTTTACATCAAAATCGATTTCGGTTTCGTTTCTTCTTTAAAGAAAATGTTCAAAAACAGATTCGATTTTCGAATAAATCTTTAGAAATTCATTATGTTAAAATAAAGTGATAATAATGAAATTAATTAATATAATTAATGAAATATTTGTTAATTATTTACATTTTTCAAGAGAGAAAAGTAAATAATACAAATAAAGTGCTAACAAATTTGAATATAGTAAAAAAATTATTCATTTTATATACAGGGTGGCCCAGTTTAACTGTAACTTTTTAGAACGCTGTATTTTTTTTTATTTGAAAATGGATTACATCTACGTTTTAATTGAACACTTGCGTGTAAATCTACGTAATTGAACACCTGCACTAAACACCTGCGTTTACATTGAACACCTGCACGAAACACCTGCGTTTCAATTGAACAACTTTCGTGATAATCTGCGTTAACACGTGCGTAAATAATTGAATTTAATTGAAAAAAAAGTACAATGAAATCTTGGTTAATATATAGTTCTTTTCAGTTTTATAAAAGACAACGAATTATATCAATTTTTCATGAAATCTTAGAATCAAAATCGATTTCGGTTTCGTTTCTTCTTCAAAAAAAAATGTTCAAAAATACACAAATGCAGTTTTTTTTTGTCGACCACCAAAATAGCATTATGTAACATAAGTAGAGCTTCGTTATAATGTGTTATGATTCGATACACAAAAGATTTATTCAAGTTGAGGCTCTAAAAATAGCTTTTGGTTTTCCACTCAAATATTGGGCGTTTGAATTCCATCGCTGATAACTTTTTTTCCAAAAAACTGAGATGTAACTGCTTCCGCAGGCAAATAAACAATAAAATCAGCTATCATTAGGCAAAATATGGACACAACATTACAAACGGTTCAAAAGTTATAGCAGTTTTAAGTTCGTTGCAGTCCAATTGAGTCACCTTGTAAATCTGATAAAAAAAATACTATATTTTACGAGCGCAAAGGAATGCAGTTTTTTTCTGGAAAACCACTCACAAACAATGAATGAAATCTCGCATCAACAAAAAAGAAGATGCGTATAAAATTCCTTAGGTCTAGACGATATGATTATAATTTATTCTGAATAACGCAGACGAGGAACTACAATAAAAAAAACTGCATACATTATTTCCATGTTTGGTCTATTTCATTTTAATAAATTCCTTGAATTATTTACGTGTTTAATTCATTTCTTTTTACACGAATTGCGTAATTCAATTGCCCAAGTAACTTGACAAGTTGTAAGTGCAATTATTTTGTACTTGCGTATATTAAATACTTAAATTAAGAAGAGTATAATATGCTGCAATATTCCACCAATATCCCGGACTGTTTGAAACCGGACTAATTAAGATACAAAATAGAATATAAACATTGTATTTATTCACCATAAACTTCTCTTCAATTATTGTGTTTTTCGACTCTATACAAATGATGTAAATATATCTAATTGTGGATTTGGAAATAAGAGGATTTGCGAGTAAATCTGAAAGGGCAGAGATTGATTTAGCGTGTGTATGATGTATGTGTCTTTAGTTTAGAAAAGTTTGCAAAAAAAAATCCCAAACAAAAGTATTTTTTCTTAAATTTTATTATAATTAGTATTTCGAATATTGATAGGAAATTATTGCTTTTCTTTAACATTTATAACAAAAAATAT